AGCAAATGCGTGTCCTGAGTTTATACTGTAGCCATTCATAGCAATTACTATTGTATGTGTGTATGATTCATATTTGTGGCATTCTATATTTTGATGTTGAGTATTTTTGAGGAGCTCCGGGTAATGGTTACTCAAACTTGGGTGAGCTTAGTGAGCTCTCTGGGCGGATGCGCTGGCAGGCTTTGGAGTCTCTATAAATATACAAACCTTGATTTGTTTTAGGATAAAGACCTAAATATATTCGGAAATTTAGAATTTTCCTTGATAAATTCACAAAATTCACATTTTTCATAAAAATATAATCTTACAATGGATATTTTATTGATTTTGAAACTTATATTTAAGAAAACTCCATTCAGTGCTATAATTACGATTTGAGTTTGCAGTTTAAAGAAATACAAGCAATAATTATATACTTTACTATTGATATTATTCTTAATTAAGCATTGATATTATATTTAACCTACATTTTATATATTTTATCCTCGAAAAGAACTTTTTCCAAACATGAAGCGAAATTCCCCATAGTAAGTGTTGCCATGCGCGCAAAACGAAAACGCTGCACACAACCCAAAAGTACTCCTCGGGAACCAATTGTTGAAAAACTGCGAAAAGGTTTATTACTGTATATACTGTGATTATAGTTTCATAAAGCCAATGCACTACCTTCGGCGAGAAGCCCCAGCGCTTACCAATGGCCCCTCTGCAACAATACAGTGCTACTGTAGCCTTCTTGACTCTTTCCTCCACGTTAGGCTTCCAGGAAAGCTTACTGTCAAGGATCAAGCCCAAGTACTTCACCCTGTCAGAGAGCCGCAGAGGAAGACCACCCATTGAGGGAAGACGGCAATTCGGTATCTTATACCTCCTAATAAAGCGAACCAACTCCGTTTTACTGGGATGCACACCCAGCCCGCAGCTAGAAGCCCAGTTTTCAACCAAGCTCAAGTAACCCTGCATAAGCTCAAATAGTGCTTCCGGGAACTTTCCTTTTGTTATCAATACTACATCATCGGCATAGGCAACCACCCGACAGCTACTTCTTTCCAGAGCCACAGACTACAACGACCCAAAGTAATGGCGAGAGAACTCCCCCTTGCGGTGTACCTCTACTCACACACCTCCGGATTGAAGCGTTGCCCCACTCTGCCGCGACAGTTCTATTGCAAGGCAAGCGGTAAATAAACCTGACAAGGTCGGCTCGGACCCCTAGCTTATTTAGGGAGTTAACTACAGCCTCAGGCAAAACATTATTAAAGGCCCCTCGATATCAAGGAAGTCATCGACCGCAAATTCCTTCTGAGAGAAGGATTTCTCGATATCTTCAACGACCGTGTGTAAGGCCGTTTCGACAGACCTGCCCTTACAGTAAGCATGCTGATCCAAGGAAAGGCGCTCCCTGAGGATCCCGCTTCTTAAATGCAGATCGATCAGCCTCTCCAGCGTCTTCAGAAGAAACGAGGAGAGACTTTTCGGCCTGAAATCCCTGGGTGATACATGAGAGGCTTTACTCGCCTTGGGAATGAACACGACTCTGACCACCCTTCAAGGACCCGGAAATGACCCTTAGCGAGACAACCCTCGAAAATGGGCATCAACCAGCGGAACGACACTTCTGCAGATTTCTGCAGTTGGGCCGGTATTATGCCGCCGGGGCCCGGGGTCTTGAAGGGCTTGAAGGAGCCAATGGCCCAAATAAGGCGATCCATAGTTAGGATTTCCGAGACATTCGTCTCGGGGATCGACTCCTCTAACCGGATCCCTCCCGGGTCCGGGTTGAAGGGGAAATGAGCATCAAGGAGCAACCGGAGAGACTCCTCGCTGCTCATTGCCCAGCCGCAGCCCTCATCCCTGATGTATCCCAGGGGAGCGGGATTCTCAGAAAGAACTCGCCGAAACCTTGAACACTCCTGACTACCCTCCAGGCTTTCGCAGAACGGTCTCCACGATGTCCGCTTCGCTTTTCTGATCTCGGACTTATATATCCCAGGCCCAATCTTATACAGTGCCCAGTCGGAGGCTGATTTACTCTTCCTGGCCCTATTGAAAAGGCCTCTGCTCGAGGCCCTAAGATCAGGGAACTCCTCCGACCACCAGAGCGGTTTGCTCTTACCTTTGTGGTAACTCAGGGGACAAGGCATATCAATGGCCCTTTTACACGAAGTGGTGAACACTCCAATTAATTCGTCAATTTCGCCTTCACTCCAGGTCTCGCCCCACGGGCGCAACCGGAAGCAATTCCTGCAGACTTCTGCAGTATAAGTCCCAGTTGGTTCTCCTCAGATTCCTGTAAGGTTTTTACTTAGGACGCGCTTCGTCCAAAGCGAATTGTATGTACCGATGATCGGAAAAGGAGTGCTCACTAAGGACTCTCCAGCCAGATATACGGGACATAATATCAGAAGAGACCAACGTGATATCTAAAACCTCTTCTCTACTAGCCGTTACAAAAGCGGGGTCGCTCCCCTTATTACATATACATAAATTTTCATTAAGTTTAAAATTAAAGAGTGACTCACCTCTACTGTTGATATCTGAGCTGCTCCAAATCGTATGGTGGGAATTCGAGCCAGACCCAATAACAACGCGGATCCTCCTGCATCTAGCTTCTGCCACCGCATTCCTTATTAAGCACGGAGGTGGCTCCACCGCGTCCTCGTGCGCCATATAAGCGGAGATTAACCAGAGTTCTCCGGTTGCACCTTCAAGGCTCACCGTGACAATGTCTCCATCGCTGAGAAGAGGCAAAATAAAAGCATTAAGTTCCTTCCTGATAAGCATGCAGGATCGAGGTCTACCTGCATCCCGCTGAACCACCAGTTTGTAGTCCCTCGTCTCGATACCAGAAACCTTATTGCTGCTGCTCAGCCGCGGCTCCTGGATCAGGACTACATCAACTCCACCTTGCTCAAAGTGGATTAAAAGGTTGGCTGACGCCGCCTTAGAGTGCTGAAGATTGATCTGAAGAATATTCATCCTCCGAAATTCTCTCCAGCACCCCTCCGCAGGCGCCATCCACATCGGACGCAAGGAGCAATTCCTCCTCCGCCCTGTCGAACAGCGGGCCAATAGTGATAACCGATCCTGCACTCGAAGGAGGGCCAGCAATGCTGTCACTGTCCGACATGACGGACTCGACCCCCGTACCTATGGGGGCATCCTCCACATTCATATTTTCGCCCACCAGCGCAACCGGAACACGCTCGTCATCCGCTCTGGAGTCGGTATGGTAGACCTTCCTGACTACCTTCTCGAAGCCATAGTAGATGACTCCTTGTCTTTCGGCGAGAGGATTAAGAGACTCCGAGTTCAGCAACATCAGCGCTTGCCGAAAGTCACCGTCGGAGCTCTCAAACCGGATTGCCTTCCAGTTGTGCGCTGGAAGGTCCGGGTTGCAGTAGCGAAAGATATCTTCCACCTCTATCAGCGAGGAAGGTGCCGAGGGAAGCCAGACCCGAGCACGCGGACGCAAGGGAAGGTCCCCCTTGTCCACAGCCTCGAGTGTGGCTCCCACCCAAACCTCCCCGACCAACGCTACTGCCGCCTTGTAAAGCGCGGCTGACCGCTCATAGGCACACACCACCTTCTTGATCATCCCCTGATGCCAACCAGCACTCTCGCACCGCGGCGGAGGCCCCGGGTCTTCCCTGACCACCCTCATAAACACCCCTGATAAGGCCGAAGACACCTTCCTCCAATCCTCCCTGGCGATGGCTCCCTCATCCTTACCCCGACCCAAAACACCCAGAGTGATAGAGCCCGCCTGTTTAGCGATCTCGCTAAAGAGCTTAGGCGTCCCTCCCTCTCTGGGCTTCTTAGAGAGGGGGGTTTCCCCCTCCTGCGATCTCTGCCGCTTGACAGGGTCAATACGGGATGCGCTCGCACCCCCAGAAAACACCCTCACCACAGCCCCCCTGGCCGCCGCTTAGCACCCCCCTGGCCCACTCGAGCGATCGCGCGTGCTGCTCAGATAGCTGCGCAGCACCCACCTCGCCATAATGCGCCAGTATCTTGGTGGCCATGCGACGGTCATCACGTGCTTTCCTGTCCTAACGGAGGGATTCCTCCCAGATTTAGCCGCAAGTCCTTGGCTGGTGCCGTCCACACTGTCCAGTGCCCTCACGTCCATAGCCGCAGACGACTTCTTCTGCGACCTTGCCTCCGTCCTAGATGCAGGCGAATTCGCCCGCGCCCCTAACCCCGACACTAGGTGCGGTGGGTTCCCATCTGCACCACCAGATACGAGTGCAGACGAAGAGGTCGGCTCCGACCCCTTGCTGCACCCTGCAGCAACAGCTGCCCCACCCAGCCTACGAGTCGATTCCGCCTCGTTTAAAGAGGAGCAGAAGAGAATTTTTGGTATTAGGGTTTCGTTTTAAATTTTGGTTATGGTTTTGTTTTTGATTGTTTTTGTTCATCGTACGACCACCTACCCGACGACTTACTTCTTCTAAGCAAAAATATTTCTGGAATCTTTTTTCCAAAGCTTTTTCCAAAAGACTCGCAGCTGCATGTAGATACTTAATTGTATAGGTTCCTCGCATTTTGCGGTATTTTCTCCTAATTGTCGCCAGCGTTGGTAGAAGGAAACCATACACCATACCGTTATCTATCTGGTTGCTGTAATTGCAAATATTCCTCAATGTATCTAATATCTCTCTCGCAGAATGTCGTCAATTCCACGCAGTTTTCTGTTTTTCTTTGTAAGAAATCAAAGCTTTAATGGAATCATATAACGAGTTCCAGCTCGGTACAACGGATATTGCAATTGTGTTCCAAACGTAGAATTGCTGTGAAGATTTCGGTCTGCTTATTACAGCAACTGTTTTTAGAAAAGGTTTTTTTACAAGACAGGTAGAAATTAAAATTTAATAAATATGTACTGTTACTACTTTATTACTTATTCATATAATACAGGTAAAATAAAATGCAGGTTGCTGACTACAGCTCAACTATACCTGATTTCAGATGACTGCAGATTGCTTCAATGAGAGACTTCATTCAATTGACTTAGAAAAGAGACTTTATTCAAATTATTGCAAATGGTTAACAAAAAAAAGACTTTAAAAATGAATAATTAGTCACCAAAATTGTGTCTGAATAGTGACTAATTATTCGCAAATGACTGCATTCTCTTACAACTCAGATAAGTTCCTTTATCATACCAGATTAATTTTATGCTTAGATTTGGCTGAATGATTTATTTTTATCTTTTTTACACAAATACAAATTTTGGAATATAATTAAATTACAAAAAAAAATATATTTCTGCAAGAAATTTTTTTCTTTTGATTTAAAATAAGCATTGATATATGCGCATATGTAGAAAAGTGGATAAACTTCAGCAAGATGAATCAAATAAAACTTTTTTATATTTTCATATTTATATTTATGTAATTTGGTACATGTATCGTTATTAAAAAGGAGTAACATATTAAGTATTCCTTAAACTGCAAAGCAGAAGTAAATATAGTGTTTCTTAACTTGTTTTCTTCGAACACTAACACCCAAATTCATAAAAAATAAAGAAGACTTTAACTGCTTTATAAATTGAAAATTTGTATGAAAATGTCACTTTATATAGCTAAAAATCTATTTAATTTTTTTAGAATAAGGCCATTAGTTTTTAGGAATGATAAATTCTAAGATTTAGTACACCATTCATATGCAGTGCTAAACATTATCTGCCATGGGCTTTCCATAGAATTTACTTTAAAGTCAGCTGGAACATATGGCCATTGGAACATGGAACTGCAACGTTCGGGATGCGGCATTAATGCCAAGTGACGCCCGTCCTCGGAGCACAGACCAGCTATGCCATCAATGCTTCCATTTGGATTCATTGGATATAATTCTGTTGCTTCGCCTTTGTCATTGGCATATCGTATTGCAACGCATCGCTTTGATTTTAAGGAATTTAGAACATCGTTACTACGGAATGAAAATCTTCCCTCTCCGTGTGATATCCAACAACCCAAAACGGAACCTTTCAGTTTGTTTAGCATCATTGCATTACTATCCTCAACAAGTGTGGTAATCCATCGACATTCAAAACGTTCAGATTTATTATGTAGTAAGGCAACGTCTGGCACATCAATAAATTGCGTATTAGATGGGTCGGCAAGTCCTACCCATCCAATTAAACCCATAAGCTGACATCCATTGCACACTCCCAACGAGAAGGTATCATGTCGTCGTTTGAATGCGTGAAACTGAGGTCTAAGCAAATTACTGAACATAATATTTGCGGCCCAGCCTTTACCAGATCCCAGAGTATCAGCGTAACTAAAGCCTCCCGGAAACACTATGCCACGGTATCGATCCAAATTCGTTTTTCCTGCAAAAAAATAAAAAATAAAGCCCGTCAGAAAATAAATAAAAATAAGGATACATAAATTCATAGTGTGTGCCACATTTGATGTGCTTTAAAAAAAAGTATTTTTTTGAGATGTAACTTATGCATAATTCTGGTTATTTCAAGGGGGAAAACGAATGAGTCCTTACATTTAAAAATGAGTTCATATTTAACATAAATGCTGTTTAATTTTTACATAGAATCTTATGGCTTTATTCATAAAAAATAAAGTAGGTTTAAAGAGCTTTACAAAGTGACGTTTTCATACATTTTTCAGTTTATAAACCTTTTTTAAAGCTACTTTATTTTTTATGAATAAGGCCATTAGTCCCTATTTATATGTCCATATAAAAAAATATTCGTCGATTTTATGCAACAGATTGTTTTGGTTTAATGAGATATACATATTAATCATAATAATAGATTGGTACTTTCAAAATAGCTCAGTGTTTGGCCGAGCATCTCCTCCGATTTGTGGCGTGCGCCTTGAGGTTGGCACACAAAGGGGAGGACCAACAGTTTTACGCCCCCGAAGGCCGATTGTATTCTTAACAAAAGCTGTTTTCATGGCAGAAATACACGGGGGTTTGCCATTGTCTGCCGAGGGGCAACCGCTATTAGAAACAACTTTTTTTATATTTGAAAACCTTTTTATAACAAGGTTTTGTTTAGCTTGCAACTTCCCGATGAGCTAGAGACTTGAAATATCAAATCTAGCTCAGAACCTGCTGGCAATACAATATGAAAGATAAAGTAATCCTAGGGGCGCAAGAGTCTCTATATCGCACACCATCTTCAAAAGAGGTACAACTCAAAAATCAGATCTAAAAATACTATAACGGCTTGTGGATCGTACAGATTCAACGATTATCAAAAGCAGGTATATCAGTTTTTAGTTGGAGAATATAATCATGAAGAAAAACATATTTTTACATTAATTGGAGATAATCCTACAAATTGATTTATGCGAAAAATGAACCTAAGAGTTGTGCCTCTTTTGCAGACGGTGTGTGATATGTGGAAACCCCGTATATACGGTCTAATTAGGTTCATATTTAGAACGAAAATTACTTACATGGAAAAAATAATTCCACAGAAAGTTTAGCCGGTAGGACAAGCAGGGGTTGATATACATATTTTGGTCTGATTTAGAATGTGTATTACTTAAATGAAAAGGAATAACTTCACAACAAATTTTGCTGATAGTGTGGTAGATCACATTTATTTATTCAAGTTTAACCTACTGGGCTTAGCCCTCACAGGTTCCGATGGTACATAATTAAACATAATAACATTAAGGTATAATTTTATAATAACTAAGGGTAGGAAACAAATTTAATACATAAAATAATATTTAAGTAGTTTTTGAATGACTCCCTGGTCATGTCGATATCGAATTGGGAAGATATAACATTAAGTAGCGACATAAACTTATGAATCGGTTCATTCAGGCCGTAAGTAGTTCTTCTATATTTAATATAGAAGATGGATTTATCTCTGAGAGGTCTGGCGGGAGCGTTAAATGTTAGAAGCGATAATAACTCAGGTGAATCAATTCTGTTATGCATAACGTCCATAATGAAGATAATGCCTTGAATTTTTCTTCTTCTAGAAAGGATCTCTAGGTTTAAGATCCTACATCGAAGATTGTAAGACGGCATCGAGTCTGGTGAGTACATTCGGCGAAGCGCGAATTTTGTAAAGCTTCTCTGAACTCTCTCTAGTCGATCGGAATGTGCTGTTAATGCCGCATCCCAAATAAGGCTGGCATATTCGAGAAGAGATCGAACAAGGCTTGAAAAGAGGCTTTTAAGAGTCAGCGGGTCTATAAATTCCTTTGAGTTACGTTTTGAGGAAGCCGAGTTTTGAGTTGGCAGCAGAAATTATATATTCCCTATGATAGTCGAAACTAAACTTAGTGTCGAGATAAAACCCTAAGTCTTTGACAGTGGTAACACGCTGGAAGCTAGCATCTGTTCCGCACACGTAATTAAATGTTATGTTAATTAAATGTTAAATGTTACCGACCGCGATAAGGTTATGAGATTACATTTTCGGAAATTTAGCATTAATCTGTTACATTTACACCATAATATGAGGGAGTTAATATCATTCTGTAGAGCTACGCAATCTTCAGGGAGCTTAATAGGATGATAAAGCTGGAGATCGTCGGCGTAAAGTAAACATTCAATAAGTTTGAAGACCTTAACGACATCATTAATCAAGATAGTGAAGAGTAATGGGCCTACCTTGGGGTACACCAGAAGTAACTGAAATTGCCCGAGAGAGACTGTCACCAACTTTGACTATTAACTTCCTGTTCTTCAAGTAAGCAAAGTCAAGCAAAGTTAAAGCGATGGAATGAACTCCCATCATCCCCAATTTGCGATAAGTAGGTCATGGTCTAAACTGTCAAAAGCCTTAGTGAAGTCTGTGTAGAGAACATCGACGTGAGATCCATTCTCATTGCGTCCAAAGCGAAATTTGAAAAAATAGCGAGGTTGGTACATGTAGACCTTCCAGGATAGAAACCATGATGCTGCGTGTAGATAGGGTGCTTGAAAGCGGAGAATAAGTATTTATTAACCAGCTTGTCTAGTAATTTTGGAATAATTTAGAGCAATTTTAGCGACTGGTCTATAGTTTTCTACCAGATTCCTTAAGCCCGATTTAAAAATAGGTACAATGAAAGCCATTTTCTACTCATCTAAGAAAATACCTGAGTCAAGGCTTTTATTAAAAATTAGAGGCGGAGGTATGAACAGTGTGTTAGCGCAGTTTTTAAAGAAGCAGGATGGCAGGAGATCGTAACCTTCTCCTTTTGAGGCGTCTAACTCTAATAGACCCTCAAAAACCTCTGTTTCCGATACCGACATTTTTCCTATGTTAACTACCTGCTGTAATTGAAATAATTCGGAGGAAATTTCAGTATTTTTAAAGCTTTCATATACGTGACCAAAGTTCGCAAACAAGTTGGAAGACTCTAGGACAGAGGTTGAAATATATCCTTTATATTCCATCGATTTGGGGATGCCGTTCATTTTGCGTTTGGAGTTATAAAATATCCAAAAAGACTTAGAGTTACTTTTGATTTTAGACTCCATTGATTTTATGTAGGTTTTGTGCAAGAACCTAGATAGGGTCCCAAATTCCTTTCTGAGCTGAAGAAAAATTCCCTTATCTTTTATGGACAAGGTTCTTTTGAACTTTTTGTATGCTTTATTTTTTTGGTATTTCAGCTTTAACAATCTATGGTTATACCACGGCAAACTGAATTTTCTTTTTCTTGTGTGTATAGGGACGTAAAGACTCAAGCATTCTTCGACAGCTTTTTTGAAAGTAATGTACATATATATTAAATCCAAGTGTTTTAAGATCTTATGCCAATTTATTGAGTCGAAGAAGTTGTTTATGGCAACATAATTGGACTTGGCGAAGTTATAGTAGAGTTCCGGTTCAGAAGGAGCACTGTTGAATCTATAAAACGAAAAACTAATCACTAGGGCCTTATGATGAACAGATTCATAAGTCAGAGGTGAGTCGCATCTTAAGATCTTATAGACTAGATCATTACTTACGAAAACTAAATATAATATTCTATCGAGATCGTTGGCGATATTATTTATTTGAAATAAGTTGAGCGAATATAAAGAGTCGTATAGTAGACATTCTGAATATTTTTTTTTTAAGTTGAATGGAGTTAAAATGAGATCTTCAACATTAAATATCCATTGAATGTTACCTAAGTTGAAGTCTCCCATAATACAAGGTGCCTGGAAGGGCTGTAAAGAACTTACTAGGGCATTTATGTTGCTAATATGGGTTTGGTACATTACATAGTCGCTATTGGGCGGAATATAACTAATGACAAACATTATCTCATTTACTCCATCTTCACGTGGATCTCCAATATTAACAGCAACACACATTTGATCGGTGAGAGTGTCTGTTTGCATAAGACTCACTTCACGGCTAGCGAATTTAGTTGACACCGCAATGAGAACCCCTCCGCCTCTTGTAACACCCGAGTGTAAAACCCGGTCTCTTCGGTACACTTCATAATGGGTATTGAAAAGTTCGGACGAGAGAAAATCGGCTGTCAACCATGTCTCAACTAAGATGATAATAACATAGATGTGCTCTGACGTTGCTAGATACATTGAGTTTGTTTTTGTACGTAGGCCGCCGGCGTTATGAAAGTAAACATTTAGCTCAGATTTAAAAGATGTACGGGGTTGTGAAGTTGTATTTTGGATATTGGGTGTTATGCGATTAGGATAAGTATCCGAATCGGTTACGCAGCAGGCTGATGACTTCTCTGTTTCGGGAAAAAATGAAAGGGGCGAACGGTGACGTTGGCGGGCCAAAGCTCTGCTTTCAGTAACTTTCCGCAAAGTGATTCCGTGACACCCAGCTTAAAATTAACCCGCGTCAGGGAGTCCGTCGATACATCCCGTTTAATGAGCTTGAAGCATGATAACGATTGCTTTTCAATGCCTGTATGTCTGGCCACATAGTTGATTATCTCTTCTGGTTCAACTTTCGGTAGAAAGGAAGACAAATGTAGCCATTTGAAGCGAGAGGCGACGCCCAGTTCAGAGCTTTTGTTAGCACCAACAACACGCACCCCATGTTTATGTTTATCATTCGTTTTGTTTTCAACAACGCTGTCTGAGCTACGATTATTATCGATGTTTTGATTGCCTTGCTTCACAGTGTTACTAGCCGAGGCCGCTGCCTGAGTCGAATATACCATGGGTGCCAAAGCGGAGGGAGAAACAGCAACACAAGCAGATGGGTTCGTAGTCGCGCTCGTATCAGCAACACTAGCAGGGGCGGCAGAGCAAGAGATTCTATGCGTGGGCGTATTAAGAGTACGCGCAGTAGAACTAGCATCGAAGTCGTTGACGCCCGCGGCAGCAGTATTTATCTCTTTTATGTAACTGTTCGCCTTTTGCTTTGTGTTAAGAAAGTCGCGTATA